AGCCGTTCCCGGAACCCTGGGAGCGGTCTATGAGGACATCTCCGAGGAGGAGATCATGGAGATAAGTTCCGGCGAAGACGAGGAGCCAGACCTGGCGCAAGACGCCATCCTCATCTCCGACGAGGAAGACAACGCCGGGAAGACCACGGCCGACCCACGGGATCATCCCAACAGGACCATTGCCCGCCTCACGGGCGCATCACCGGCCGCGGCAGCAGCCACCGGGACCACCAACGCGACACCCCTTGGGGACGCGAGAGTCTCCGGAATCGCTGCCGGCGGACCGCCTGCCGTCACCCTGGAAACCACCCTTGCCAGGGCTGGGGGCAGCAGCCAGGGACACCACAGCACCAGTGTCGCGACTGGCCAGGGCAACCACACGGCCCCCACCACTCTTCCTCACGCCGACACCAACGCCGGTACCGCCGCTAGCGCGCACGACCTCGCCACCGGCCAGAGGACACCCCCTCGCTCGGGGCCACCTGACGCCCGCGCCACCCTTGGGCCACTCTTGGCAGAACTGTTGGCCTCACCAGAGGGGCCCACAACATCCGCTGACGCCAGCCGACGAGCCACAGCCCGAGCCGCCGCCGAGAGGCTGCTACAAGCGGCACCTACGCGCGTCCCTCCACCGAGGAGCGCCGCCAAGGTCACCGCTGGCTGCACCATGGTCACCCCCCGGCCGATACAGAGGGTACGGCCACTGCCCGCCACGGACGAATACCGCTGGCGTTTTCGCCGCGCCCCGGCAGACCGCGACCCGGACGCGCCCACCGACGACCGCCCCGGCATCCTGCGCAATGCAGGCCGTCGACGCCGCGCTCCTTGGCCTGAGGAAGAGCCAAACTCGGACGAGGAGGCATCGACGGATTCGGAACCCGAACCCGAACCGGAGGACTGGGTGCGCGCTCCTGCAGGCTGGACCACGCAGGGCGGATGGCTCCCCGCCGAGCTCATCGCGCAGGTGCAGGCGCGCCTCCAGCAGCCGGTCACCAAGTACCTGCGGTATTTAATAGAGATGGGCGACACGACGTACCGCGTCCAGATCTCACGCGGCGGAGACCGCGTCACCGTCTTTCCTCATCCCCGAGGTAGAGATGGAGTGTGAGGAAGCCTCACAACCATGTTTTGTAGTATGTAAGATCATTTCCATTTTTATAATATTTAAGCTCATTTTCTTAGTATTTAAGTCCATTTTTCCTAGTACGTAAGAACATCTATATTTAGCATTAGGACATAAGTGTTAAATACTAAGACCCACGAAGGGCACACTAAGTTAGGGATTTAGGAGTAGGGACTAGATTTAAGAGATCAAACGACGAAGAGACGACGAGCGGCCGAACACACACACGAGCGGCCACGAACAGCCGAAGGAAAACGAGCGGCCGAGAGCGGCCGAACATACGAGCAGCCGAAGCCGGCAGCCGACCGAGCCGAAGGACGGCCAGCCGAACCGTCTTCGGCAAACACCCGACGACAAGGCCCGATCAGCCGAAGCATGCCGTCGGCACATACGACAAAGCCCGATCAGCCGAAGCATGGCGTCGGCAGACACGACAGGGCCCGAGTAGCAGATCGGCGACCATGACGCCAGCCGAAGTTCACCCGAAGCTCACCCGAAGTTCCCCGAAGTAAAACGACGCTACCGATCGCCGGCGGCCTATAAAAAGGGCCTCGGCAAGCCGAGCCCGGTCTCTTCTCGCAGAACACCAGCAACGGACCAGACGTGCCACGGAGCTACAGGATTACATCGGAATAAAACCACGCCGCCGGCCACGTGCCCCAAAAATGGAGTTGGAGTGAATTATCGGTGAGCTGGCCAAGGGCCATCCCCGCGGGGGGAAAAACTCGGAGTGCGCTAGGGAACAGCTAGATGTAGGGAACAGCTAGGTTTACCGACATTTGTAAAAATAAACTCTGGACATATAATAGAACTCAATCGCGAAAAATTATTTACCCTCTCGGCGCCCCATTACTTCTGGAGAGCAAGGGCCACCGGCGCATGGCCAGCGTGGCCGGCAACCCTTCGCTTCTCCTTCTCTTAGAGGAGGGGCCGGTACCCCGGCATGCGGGATCGGTTTTCTTCCTGGTTAGGCATCCACATTATCTCTGCCAAGGCGGCGAAGCGGTACTCGGCCTGCGGGACCGCCTCTCCGTTTTGGAGCCCTTTTCCCCGACACCCAGGGCGACTGGCACATGGTTTTGCATGGCTGGTGGCCCTCACCCGGATCCCGTTCGTTCGGGCATATCGGGGAACTGGATCTCGGCTTGCGGGACCAGTCTCCTCCGATTCCCGGACGATTCCCCACCCCACTAGGACCCCGTTTGTTCGGACATATCGGGGAAACTGGATCTCGGCTTGCGGGACCGGTCTCCTCCGATTCCGGGCGGCCCCATCTCACCCAGAGGCGGCGGGACGGTACTCGGCCTGCGGGATCGACTCGCCGTTTCGGTATCCCTTCTCGGGGACCCAGGGCGGCCGGCACATGGCATGCGTGGCCGGCAGCTCTCATTTCGGGCCGCTCATTCGAAGATCAGGGAACACCGGTACCCCGGCTTTGCGGGATCGGTCCGACTTCGGAAGATGCGCCCTCCCGAATCTGGCAATCGGACTACGGCTTGCGGAGCCGGTTGCCCGGATTTCGGGAGTTTTCCTGACCATCGCCTGCCCCTTTTCGCACCCTAATAAACATACCGGCCTTCGGGCTCGTCCTTTCTCCTGCCTGTCTCCGTAAAAATTATAACTATTTCTGTAGAGGACTCCTGGGCCGACTGAGTTATTATCCTGGCCATAGCATCCTTACAAAATCTAACTTGATATGTGAAACTTATTTGTTTGTACCTGTTTTGTGTGTCTCAAATTTGTTTACCTAAAGTTTTAGTTGTGATCCCACACGATTCCAAATAATGATTTTTTTATTTACCAGAGTTTTAAGATTTAACGATTTAAAAAGTTAGGTGCGGAATGTTGCGGATGTAGTTGTAATCGTTAATATGCTAACACGACTTCTTATTTTTTCAAGGTCAAATTTTGCCAGCGCCAATAATCCGGGTTGTGATAAAAAATCGGGAAAAATTTTTAAAAATAAAAACGTCACCTGAGTACCTCGGGGAACGTACCCTTTAGTGAATGCAATACATTTTTTTAATATCGGATGTTTTTGTGGACAGTTACGATAGGATGTACACCGAAAACAAACTTTTTTTGTGGGGACTTACTCGTAAGCATGTAAATATTTTTTAAAACAAAAATTAAAAAAAAAAATTGTTTATATGTTGTGTTATTATATGGTATTTAATTCAATACGCTAATTTTAGCCGTTTTGTCACAACATTTTTTGAAAAGTAGGCTGTTTTGCACCGAATTAACCTTACCCCCCGTTAAGCTGTGTACGTTTGTTGCTGGACAAATTAAATACACAATATATAAGTTTTTTTTTTTTTTTTTACTTTTGGGCACTTATATTTCACCAACGTTCTCATTAAGAGATCAAAAATTAAAAAATTAAAGTTAGGTCTTGGAAAAAAAGTAATTTAATAAAAATTTTGTATGGGAGCTATAAGACATAGAGATCTGATTTTAACCAAAGTTGGTACGAATATATAAACCTCTACCAAACATATAATCTGTAAAATTGGTTAAGATATTTTGAAAACAAAAAAGTTTTTCATACTAAATGTAAATTTTTAACAGATTGTTCCTATGGCAGCTATATGATATAGATGAGCAATATGGCCAATTTTTGGTGGATATACTTAAACCATTTTTTTTAGATTTTTGGTGAAAGTTTCATAGCGATTGCACATCTAGAAGTAATTATGGCCGCAGCTCCATACAAGCCGAACCACTGTGCAGTCGTTACATTTATAATTTATTATTATGTTTTAAATAAAGATTCTTAAAGTTAATGGCGCCCAACTAAGAGGCCAAACATTCTGTTAGCGCTGCATCAAGACGCGGTCTACAAATTTACGTCATACACCTACAACACCTTCGATTACATTTGGCAGCATAGGTACTGGAGTGGGCTTAGAGGCAAATACGTTTGTATAGTTGTCTGCAAGCCACGGTTGCTCCAGTGTATGAAGCTGAAGGCAGCCGAACTTATCAGCCAGCTTTGTTTACAAATTAGTCGCATAGGAAATACGGCTGATCAAGCTGCCAGCAGCAATCATCCGGCCACGGCTTAGGAGTAATCATTAGCAGGCGACATAATACCCTACAGTAGAGAGGTTGGTAGTTTAGGCTTGAAAGTTGCATAGGAAATACAGGGAAAATGACTACCAGTAGTTTACTCCCTGGTCACGGCCAACAAGCCTTAGCGAAGAGCTCTTAGTATCCACATTATGATCAGGGCAGATTTGGACCATTAAACGCATGGATATACAGGCTAGACTCTTTTAGAAGAGTTAATTTGGCCACGGATGATGGACAAGACAATAGGCCCGGTCGCAATAGTAGAGGGTGCAGAGAAGATAGAGAAAATTGACAAAAAACTTATTAGCGTTTGCTTGATTAGGAGCATTGCAGAGCTATTTAGTAGCTGCATTGTTTTGTTGTTTTTTTGTTTTTTGCTTCGTTTTCTTTTTGCTCCACTCGTCTAGCGTTTGTCTGGGGAACATATGATCAGGGTTAAACTTGGGAAGAAGCTATGCTTGAAGGCAATAAATGTTTATTTTCTTTATCGTTTGCAGTTTGTGTTTACAAATTTTGTGTTTACATTAATATTTTATTCTTTATTTTTATTTTATTGTCACACATTTTCATTATTTATTGTCAGCATATATTTTTGAGTAATTGTCAGTCATTATTTATTACCCATTACATATTTATTCATATAATATTAGGTATTATTATTAGAGATTATTAGTATTAGTTATTGATTATCAGCCAGGACTTGGTTGGTTTGGAGAATTTTTTTCGTAAAATAAAAATAAATAAAAGGATCAGAAAATAAGCGAAAGGTTGGAAATAGATTCGACTGTTTTTAGTTGCCGCAATGGAGGAAGAGGAAGCAGCTCAGGCTGTATTATGCACTTTGTGCGGAAAAGAGCTAGTGCCGGAAAATTATTATAAAACAAAGTGCAAACAAGAATACCATAGATCTTGTGTCTCGGCTTATCACAAGAAGCATGGGAATTGTCCGTATTGCAACACAGCTTGCTTCGGGGTTGTGTCGGCGAGTTCTGCAACACAGGGCTCGAGGCAGGCTTCGGGAAGCAATGAAAACAATGCAGAATAGATTGATGGCACAAATATCCAGCAATATGGCTCAGCTAATTCAAACAAATGTAGCTGCACAATTTCAGTCGTTTTCCTTAGAGCGAGACACTTCTCCAGTTTCGGTAGCTCAGGACCAATATCAGACGAATTTTAATACTCCCGAAGAGTTTCAGCCTGCAGGATGTCAAACCCCCAGAAGCCAAATATCCGATCTTGCGAATAGGCCAGATAAAGTAGTGCAGATCATTAATGGCTGGAAGTTACACTTCGACGGTATTCCAGGAAGCATTTCTGTGGACCACTTCATTTACCGAGTGGAAACCAAAACGCAGCAGACTTTGGAGGGAAACTTTCCAATTTTGGGCAGTAATGCCAGTATTCTCTTCGATGGCAAGGCTAGGGAATTCTATTGGAGATTCCACAAAGCCTCAAGGAATATTCGACTTGCTTTGTCAGGCACTAAGGAAGCAGTTCAAGGACACTCGAACGGAGGGCGACATCGAAGAGGTGATTACGGATCGAAAACAGCGGGAAAAAGAGAGTTTCGATTGCTTCTACGAGGCCATCGCCAAGCTGATGGACCATTTGGAGGCTCCTCTGTCAGAAAAAAGGCTAGTTGACATTCTGCGTAGGAATCTAAGGCCTGAAATCAGATATCAGCTGCTGAATTTTAAAATAGACTCCGTCGAAGAGCTTAGGGAAATGTGTAGGCGGCGTAGGAGTATCACGAGGAAAGGAGGCGAAATGTTGGGTACCATAGTAATGGGCAAGCTCGCAAGCAGGTGGCCGAAATTAGTGAGGACCAGCTAGTAGAAGATGCGGCGGAATTTTCCGAGGGCGAATTAGAGGGAGGCGAAATAGATGCGCTAGCTCTGATTTGCTGGAACTGCCGCAAAGAAGGTCATCGGTATCGAAAAACGAAAAGTTTTCTGCTATGGTTGTGGTGCCCCAAATACCTATAAGCCATCTGCGAAAAATGCCAGCAAAAAAACTCCATGGCGAACACACAGCCTCGTCAACTGCCACGTGTTCGTCGCCCTCAGTCCTCAAATCGCGACGACAACCAGTAAATGCAAATTTAGTAATAAATAGTAATACATTCGAAAATTTGAATCCAAATAGCAGCAAGATAATTACGTCATATTTAAGTGATAAGCCAGATTCTTTGCCAATGTCCTTCCGAAAACTGCCTCTAGGAATTCCAAGCGGATGAGATCATTTTGGGAAGCAGCCAAAACAATGAATGCAATCCGCTATAAGAAAAGCGATAAGCGTCCGTATGCAGAGGTGAAAATTCTAAATAGAACCGTTCTAGGATTGCTAGATACAGGAGCGGCCATGAGCGTAGTGGGAGGAAAGTTAGCTAAGGAAGCGGATTCCATTTAAACGTGGCATGTCCATTGCACATACTGCAGATGGCGGCCAGCAAGAAGTCATTGGCCGATGGAAAACTCCTGTCACCTACGAATCCGAGGTCAAGGAGCTAGAATTTTTTATAATCCCTTCGCTGAGTCAGGACATTTATCTAGGAATCGATTTTTGGGCCAAATTTAATCTATTACCGCCAGAAATGCAAGTTGCTGAGATAAGTCCCGAATCGCATGAGTTATCGTCAAGCCAGAAAGAGCAGCTGCAGAAAATCATTGCGGAATTTCCATCATTTGCCATTTCCGGGTTAGGAAAAACTTCGATGTTGTCGCATGCCATAGATGTAGGAGATGCTAAGCCCGTAAAGCAGCGGCATTTTCCTGTATCTCCGGCTGTTGAGAAGCTCCTTTATGCTGAAGTAGACCGGATGTTGAAGTTAGGGGTCATCGAGGAGTCTGACAGCGCATGGTCTTCTCCTGTAGTGCTTGTGCAGAAGCCAGGAAAAGTAAGGCTTTGTTTGGATAGCCGAAAAGTCAATTTATTTACCAAAAAAGATGCGTACCCGTTGCCTCAGATCGATGGAATTTTGAGTCGGCTGCCTAAGGCAATTTTTATCTCGAGCTTAGATCTTAAGGATGCTTACTGGCAGATACCTTTGGATCCAGAGTCTCGGGACAAGACTGCATTCACCATTCCAGGCAAGCCGTTGTATCAATATAAAGTCATGCCGTTTGGACTTACCAATGCCTCTCAGACAATGACTCGCTTGATGGACAAGGTGATACCGGCGGATCTCAGGAATGAGGTTTTCGTCTATTAAGATGATTTATTAATTGTTTCGGATAGCTTTGAGGCGCATCTAACAGTTCTTAAACGGGTAGCAAAACATGTCAGGATGGCGGGTTTGACCTTGAACGTCGAAAAAAACAATTTCTGCAGGCGCACGGTGAAGTATCTGGGGCACATAGTTGGCGAAGGAGTCATCAAAACAGATCCTGAAAAGATTTCGGCCATGACTGAATTTCCAATGCCAAATTCTTTGAAGGCGCTGCGGAGGTTTCTCGGGATGGTTGGGTGGTACAGAAAATTTATAAGTAATTTTGTAAGTAATTAGCCTCGCCACTCACAGACTTGTTGAAGCCTAGATGCAAGTTTGTCATGACTCCAGAAGGAAGGAAAGCTTTCGAAGAACTGAAAAGCATGCTATGCGCAGCACCAGTTCTGCGCAGTCCTGATTTCGGGCAGCCCTATTACATTCATTGCGATGCCAGTAAAACTGGAGTGGGCGGTGTATTGGTGCAAAAGACCCCAGAAGGTGACGAATTCCCGATAGCGTTTGTGTCAAAAAAACTAAATAAGGCCCAAAGTAATTATTCGGTTACTGAGCAGGAGTGCTTGGCAGCCATTGTCTGCATTAGTCGTTTCAGAGCTTATGTCGAAGGACATGAGTTCACTGTGATCACAGACCACGCATCGCTTAAGTGGCTCATGTCTCAAACCGACCTGAATTCTCGATTAGCAAGGTGGGCTTTGAAATTACAAGGTTTCAATTTTAAAATTGAGCACCGTAGTGGGAGACTTAATGTGGTTCCAGACGCCCTTTCCAGGGTTAATGAGGATGATTTGGCAGCGGTAGACGGTAGTGTAGGAATCGATCTGGAAAATAAAGCCTTTAAGTCAGCAGAGTACGCAGCCATGGCGCATCAGGTTGAAGCCAACAAAGATAGTCTCCCGGATCTTAAGGTTGAGGATGGTCGGCTGTACAAAACATGCGAGGTGATTTGCTACACGATAATTATGCATGGAAACTGTGTATTCCGTCTGAGCTAATAGCTGAGGTCTTAGCCGAAGCTCACGAGAGTCCCCTAGCCTCACATGGTGGCATTCATAAGACGCTAGAGCGAGTTAGACTGTGGTACTATTGGCCCAGTTTGGTTAAGGGGGGGGTAAGGTATTTAATTTTTTTTTCGTAAATTTTTTTTATTTTTTATTTTAAAAGTTCAATATCTTAAGAATATTGTGTCCAAGTTTTACATCAATCATAGTAAAATTGACGAAGTTATGCGGAGCTGAACGAAGGTCGGTTGGTGTTCAGTGCATGAGAATCACAAAGTTTAAAGCGCTCTCCTGAAAAATGCCATTTTGAAAATCGGTGTACACGATAACTAAAAATATACTGAACCCATCGGTTTGAAATTTGGAACATAACTTCTTTAGATAATTCTACAGGTATTCTCGTCGAGCTTTTTTTAATTTTTAATTTTCTTATATTTTTTATTTAACAAATTAACTTAATTTTTTAGTCAAAAATCGGGGTTTTGACTTGAAATTTTGATAAAAAATAGGGAAAAATTTTAAAAATAAAAACGCTTCGAGAATACCTCGGGACACTTATCCTTTAACGAATGAGGTATAATTTTTGTAGATCGGATGATTCTGTGGACAGTTAGGATGTACACCGCAAACCAACTTTTTTTGGAGGCGACTCGGGAGATTCCCTATAACTCCTTTACCTCTAAATATTTTTCAATACAAAATTTATCACAAACTGTTCAAATGTTGTGTTATTATATGGTATTTAATTCGTTAAGCTAGCTTTAGCCGTTTCGCCACAACATTTTTTTGAAAAGTGGGCATTTTTGCACCGAATTAACCTTACCCCCCCCTTAAGGATGTCAAAGAATATGTCCTCGCTTGTGACGTGTGCAAGGCAACAAAGGCCCCGAATCGCATCCAAAGACCGCCAATGAGGGCAGCACCAGAGTCGCAAAGATTCTTTCAGAAGTTGTATGTGGACTTCTTGGGGCCCTATCCGCGATCCAGAAGCGGGCATGTGGGAATATTCATAGTGCTCGATCACTACTCAAAGTTTGTGTTTCTGAAGTCTGTGAAGATGTTAACAGCCGATGTGGTGATCAAATATTTGCAGCAGGAGCTTTTTCACACCTTTGGCTTTCCAGAAACTGTAGTATCCGACAACGGATCCCAATTTAAATCGGACAATTTCCAGAAATTTCTGAGTGGGTACAAAATTTTGCATACTTTGACAGCTGTTAATTCCCCTCAGGCGAATGCATCCGAGCGGGTGAATCGCTCAGTAGTGGCGGCCATCCGTTCCTATGTGAAGGCCGATCAGAAGAACTGGGACGAGGAGATTAGCAGTATTGCCTGCGCCTTGCGGACGGCTGTTCATTCGAGCTTAGGAACATCGCCGTATTACATGGTTTTCGGCCAACAATATGTTTCGTCAGGTGCGAACTATAAGTTGTTAAGAGCTCTCCATCCTTTAGAAGACAGGTCTATAGCATTTTCCAAGCCGGATTCGTTAGAGTTAGTCCGAATGAAGGCTCTAGAGGTGATGGGAAAGCAAAGAGAGAAAAACGAGAAGAACTACAACTTGAGGTCTAGAGAAGTCTCGTACACTGTTGGCCAGGAGGTATTCCGGAAGTATTTCAAGCAGAGTAACTTCCAAGCCGGATATAGCTCTAAGCTAGGCCCAGCCTATGTGAAGGCTAGGATCCGCAAGAAAGTGGGCAGTGCATATTACGACTTGGAAGACCTTCAAGGACGCTCAATTGGTCGTTACCACGCTAAAGATTTGAAGCAGTAGAACCAAGCTTAGTTGGGATCGGCTTTGGGTTGATCTACCCCCAAGTCCGATCTTTGGCGGGGGGTATTTGTAACGCTTGGTCATAGAGCCCAGTGGCGCTACCTAGGAGTGGATTGGTGGGCAGGCAAGCGACCTCTAGCGGGCGGGCAATGGAAAGTAAGGCAACCTAAGAGAAAGTTTTAGGGACAAGTTTCCGACGTTCGGCTGAGGAGCTCTCGACGTCGGAAAGGGCGATCGGATAGTGCTTGAGGCAATGAGTAGGGAGCAGCTATTACCTCTTTTGCTGCGACCAAAGGCGGTTGGATTCAGCTCCGAAGGAAATTCTACGCGATTTTTCATAAGCGACCCAATTGTGTTTTTTTTACACGCTGGTAAGTCGCAAAAGGGCACAACAAAAAAAAATCAGAAAATAACGAGCTAATCAAATGTTTAAAACGCTCAGGAATCGGCAACCTGCGGGTTTCTTCGGCGCCAATTCGAAAGTCTGCCACCAAGCGGTTCGTCGAAGCGCAAGCGGGAAGCGGAGGAGCGGAGGAAGTACAAAAGCAGACGGAAATCAAGCGGTTATTCCAAGCGCGGGAGGCCAGCACTATAAGGGAGAGGCGGATAAGGTTCACCTCCCCGCCCGTATTGGCCACCAAGACACTCCAGCCGGTGCCTTCTTTTGATCGTTATTTTTTGCTTGTCGTTAGTGGAACGCTCGAATAGGATGTGATTAGTTTTTTTTTCACTTCATTCGGGCTGCCACCATATAATATGCACCCTCAACGCCAGACATAAATTTTTCTATTCCTGCAAATGCCCAGTTCCATTCCGGCTCATCCCTTCTTAAAAGAGCCTCCTTAGTGGATTTTTAAACTATATATATTTGTTTAGTGTTTGTAGAGTTAAATATAGTAGTTTAGTAGCAGTAACAAAAAAAATCAGTGAGGAGGAATAACCAAAAGTGAAGCAAAGTAGAGGCGGGATCCATATGGATCCAATTTAGACAAAGATATAGCTTAGAGTTCCCAGAACCGAAGATTTGGCAAAAGTGATTTTTGTTTACTCCTTACAGTGATGCTCAAGGATCTACGCGGGAAAGCGCTTTCTTCGCCGGATTAAAGGAGGAATCAGAGTGAGTTGAAACCAGTGCATTGGCACATTTGCCAGATCATCGGGCGAGATTTCAGTGGGAAAAAGATATCAAAAGTTGAAAATATGAGGACGCAAATTCAAGTCCATGTCATTTAATTTCGGTCCCCATTTGCGTCCAATTTGTTTGTCCTCCACACTAGGCGAAATTTTTCCCAATTGCATATCTGTTTAATTTTATTCGCGTAAAAATATTCATTTCGTTTATTCTATTTATTCCATAAATGTCAAATCCAATTTTAGAATTTACCATTTCTACCAACTAATGTTTTTAGGCCTAAGTAAAATAAATATTATAATGTTTTAATTAGTTTCGAACTTTGCCTTCAGCTAGCATGAGGCCCAAGGGAGTGCCTTGAAAGGGTCAGCATTTGTTTCAAATATGAAACAAACAGGAAGTGATGGCCAAGGAAGGGAGGGCTAAGCCGCTTCACGTCATCCGAAGCGCACTAGTTGTTGACCCATGTTCGTTCCAGTTTTTTTTCAGTGTAGATGTTTGTGTTTGGGTTTTCATATTTTTCGTCGTAGCACGCAGTTTTAAATCTAACTTTAGGGATCAATGGAGAAAGGCAAAGTTCAGAGGGAGCAGAACTACCACCCATTAGCCGACGAGCCCCAGCCGGGACAAGATGCGTGCGCCCCTCTGACTTATAACAGCAGCCAGTCGTTACAGAGTGTATGTTAACTCCGACTGCGTCGAAGTCTGCGTTCAGTGGAATTTGGTTTTGGGTAATGGAATTATGGATGGGAGGGCAGCGCCGCCAAAGCTATTGCTGTTGTTGACGCTGGTGTAAAGTGTGTAGTTGATTGGGGTGGGGAGTGAGGAGAGGTTTGATAAATGGGTTTCTTGTAGGGCTATAATGTGTGGGTTTTGAGCTTTAATTAACATTTGTAGTTCAGTATAATTATTTCTATAGCCGTGTATGTTCCATTGTTCCATATCGATTTGATTAATATAAAGATGTACTTATAGATAAGGATAAATGGTAATAGTATGTGGTATCTAATTGATTTATTGATCTGGATTTATAGCGGAAATGGATTTAAGTTTTGCTCTAGTGATAATTGAGCTCTGT